TTCACATCACACCATAAAAAAATTAATAAAAAGGTCCGAATTATGTTTATATTTTTTACATAAAATAATTATAAATTAATATATTTATTATACACTTAACATATATTTTAAAAACAACATTTCAAGGGTTCACATCACACCATAAAAAAATTAATAAAAAGGTCCGAATTATGTATATATTTTCCACTTCAAAAATCTCTAAATTTTGTCTTTAAAAATAAGAGCTTTAGGGGTTCACCTATACCTAATTTTTGTTTTTCTAAAGATGATGGTTAAAAGGGTCCCAAACAACGAAGGATGCACAATGGCGAAATCCCTTCCACAACTGGGCGAGTGGTCCACAGAGAGAGACAGTATATAGTTCCTTCACTTTTACTTTTTGTTCATTATCCTCTCTATACTTACAAATCTTTCAAAGTCTTCCCTCTACTTTAACTTTCCATTGCATTTACCTCCCTCCCATAACACCACCCTAACACCGTTTATGTCTCCCATTTAAGAGTGGCAACTTTGACAGTTAGTGCAATAGTTTTTTTTTTTTTTAATGAACTGTGTTTTTGGGCACAAAAATTATGCATAGAATATGTACTTGACTAATTAAAAAAAGTAGCTTATCATGTACTTTTTCATGATCAATCAACTAAAGTTAGGAGCATATAGATTATTATTACATCATAAATTTTTTTTTAAACCATTACATCTTAAAGTGTTAGATATTATTTGTTAGTAATTTATTATATTGTATTATAATTATAAATTTCGTTTTATATTATTCTAAAAATATATAAAATATTAATTAAAATTAATCAAAAATGTTATAATTATAAATTTATAATTATTATATAACGTTAAATAAGTGTAATATGACATTAAATAAATAATTATATAAAATACCAGGGTGGATCCTAAATAAAAAAAATTAATTATATAATAATATATCATGTTGCTACTGTAATACAACTATATTATTTTTTAAATTAATAAAAGTACATAAAAATTAATTAAATTTGATTAATAATAATCAAATTGCATTTAAGATAAAATACTGTATAAAAGGTTCTATGAAGAATATGGTTAAACAAAACTCTAATATTATACAAAATTATTACATTTTTAATCATATTTAGGCTTGATTTAGCAGTGTTATCTTTTTGCAATCGGCTCAAAAATGTAAATTCTCTATTTTGTTTAATTAAAGCTTTAATTAAAGTCAAAGTTTTAAGAATTAAAATTGTCCTTTTATTATTTCAATTCCACGCAAAACTTTTGTGTTTGACCAATTTAGTCCATTAGTTTTAAATAATTTCAAATCA